CCAGAACATCTGAAGCCCCGGGCAACCGAAGGCTGTGCCTGAAATTCCTCAATGTCCAGAATACCGAATAATCCGAGAAACGGTAGGGATGACCTGATTGGAAAAGGCCTGTTGGGTCCGTGTCCACATCGAAGTAGTCCAGGGTTATGACATCCACAAGCCTTGGATTCGGAATGAAAGGCTCGTCATCTGGAGCTAAGGAGATCCACATCGCGAGGCAAGGTGCCCGTGGAACTTGAAGATTTCGCTGGCTTTGTCGGTCATGGTGTCTCCCACCTGCAGGGAAAAAAGCAGGCAGTGTAGGCTTCGATTAGATGGGACCGGAACACCCTTTCCTGTCTGCTTCCCGAACTTGCATCGGCTTTTTTAGCGTCCGAGTGCCGAATGCGCCTCCATTCGCCACTGTCGCAGCACTCGGCCGCTCTCCTGCGTAAGACCCACCAAGCGAAGGCCAGAGGCACTCGACACCAGCGTGCCCAGGGCCTGCGCAGATTCTTTGGGACAAGACGAGTCGCAGCCGTCGCGCAGTATTCATCATCACCAGCATCATCATCATCATCATCATCATCAGCACCATCATCATCCTGATAACTTCTCTCATGCTCCTACTCTTCATCTTCCTACCACTTCCCATACTGCTGCGACCGCCACCACGACCACTGGCACCACTACCACCACTGACGACCCAGCAACGCCATCAAAAGGTCAATTTGCAAGCAAAGTGCCAGAGAGACCGGGGACGGCCCAAGGCGGCAGTGACTTGCGGTGTCTCCCATAGCATCGAGAACTGCCTTTGCTCCGTTCATGGCATTGGCTGTAACTTCAATCTGGGTCTGGAGAGGATGCATCTCGAACTTCTTCGCAGCCACTCGGAGGCCCTCCAAGACCAAGACATCCTCTGTCCAGGTTTTGTAGTAGACCCCGTCTTCTGCGATAATGCCAGGCTTGGTGCCGGCCCCTGGGAAGATTGACTCCACGTCCGCGCCACTCACTCGCTCGCGCACCTGCATCTTGGCATTGTAGTTTCGCGGAATGTCCTGGAATGGAAGACATCTGCACACTGCGCTGGCTAGCTTAGCAAACCCTCCGCGCAGTCCTCAGGGTTCGGTAGGGCGACGCTTGTGCATTCCCACTCCATATCTTCCAGAAGTGTGAAGAAGCCCTCCAGGAAGCCCGCAGAGAGCCGGCGGCCGCCATGAAGACTGGTGCCCGACGCGAGCAAATCCGGCGAAGCCTGTGAACGTGACCAAGCTTCTCTTTCTTAAAAGCAGGAGTAGTAGCAGTAGTGGCAGTGGCAGTGGTGAGTGGTCGTGGAAGTGGTAGTGGCAGTGACAGTGGCAGTGGCAGTGGTGAGCGGTCGTGGAAGTGGTAGTGGCAGTGACAGTGGCAGTGGTGAGTGGTCGTGGAAGTGGTGGTGGGAGCAGGAGCAGGAGCAGGAGCAGCAGCAGTAGTAGCAGCAGTACCAGCAGCAGCAGAAATCAAATGGAGTAGTACGCAGTCGTAGCACCGTTGTTCCTACTGCTATTGATATTTCACTCAGACAGAGGCCACGTAGACTGATGCAAACTTCTAGAACCGGCCTTAGCCGCGAGCTGGTCGTCAGCGGAAAGCTCTGTGTCGTCGATCGTCAGAGTGCCGTCCTGATTCTTGAAAACTGTGAGCTTCTGGAAAGAACTCACTTCTCAGGTTGGCATAACGGCTCTCTGAGTAACCCTCGGGAGTTTATTACACAGTACGCGTCCCTTGTTTGGACGTCCACAAACAGAGCACCTTGCTGTTTAGGACTTTCACATAGTTCCCATAATTCTGAAACTCCCACATGGCAAGGACACATGGCAAAGGCTGGCCCCAAAAAGAAAGCTTGCAAGTACCACTGCCTGAACCGACACACTCGAACCGTCAGATTGGGCCACTAGCACGAATGCTCCCTTATGATACCAACCGTGATGAACCTGCAAACACGGAGGCAATCAACTACAGACCTCCATCCTTCATCGAAACAGGAATGAGCGGCATCAACATCACCACCTCCAAAACCAGGCCTAGAACTCCACGGCAACAACAGAATAACCCCGACGACTACATACCCTTACAACTATCACACACTTTAAATCATGCTTGAGTTCACTGTAGATAACTAAGCGTGTCAAAGACAGCACACCTGCTGTCATAATCACTCCGAACACAACAAGCACCGCACACTTTACCAAACCCACGGCTGACTGTCAGTGGCCACGTGAAATGTACCAACCGGTGGCAATCCTGAAACAGAAAAATGACGAACCAGAGGCACTCAGCAGTGGACATCGTAGAACTAACTGCACTCGAATTCACAACCCATGAGCGAGAAGAGGCAAACTGAAAACACAGACATGCATCATTATACATGGTGGAGCACGATATGGACAAGCACAAGTACAGATATCAACACAAGTATTGTCGTAGTTGTGGAAGTAGAAAGTCGTGTCGTCGTCCTGTCGTCTTCGGCATGGTGGTGGGCATGCTGTCGGTGGTGATGCATATTACTCCGGCTAGAAACACATAGCGGGAGCTGTACCGCCAACGGCGGTGCAACAATCCTTCATCTTCCTTCAGAGACAAGTTGTCTACAGTCTAAACTTGCTCATATATCACGGGTCCTGGGTGTGGAGCTTCACCACAGAGCCGCACTTGCTCGACTTCATTGTAACCCGCGTCATGCTCAGGACCTTCAGCTGCAAGAAGCCGCCGCTCTCGCTCTTCAGCGTCACCTGCCGGACTGCGTCTGTCCCACAACCAAATCTCGTAGCTTCAGCCTGCGAAACCGAAGTGTTTAACGACCCCAAGTTGTCAACGTCTGGACGGTCTGTTGCATACGACATATGAGACGGTACATCTTCGACAGTGGGCACTGAATTAAAACAAGGTTGGCACTCGCTTTTGCGCCATTAAACGAAGTCTCCCATGTGAGCTGCAGCTGAAGAAGGCGACAAGCCCTATGGGCGAGCAGCCAGCTGGTCTGTGCACAAGAGCTGGTCAGAGAGAAGCTCGAACTCACAAGCGAAAGCTTCCTATGCAGGGTGGCCGCGGGTGGGCCGAAAAAACTGCAAGCAACTGCACTCGCTCATGCAAACCTTGCAAGTCAAGGTTGGCACTCGCTTTTGCGCAGTTAAACAAAGTCTCCCAGGTGAGCTGCAGCTGAAGAAGGCGACAAGCCCTATGGGCGAGCAGCCAGCTGGTCTGTGCACAAGAGCTGGTCAGAGAGAAGTTCGAACTCACAAGCGAAAGCTTCCTATCCAACTCTGAAACGTTCTTCGCCCGCAGCCGGCGTAGAAGACAAAAGACTGGTAGTGAACAGCTGCAGAAGTGGACGGGCAAAAGCTGCGAGGTGCAGGATCCGAGCACGATGACTCTCTGTCAGATCAGCGAGGAGCAACTGCCCTGCCACTTCCTGCAAGTAATGTTCCAAAGTTCGGCACTGTTGCCAGCGCCCCCTCCATTGAATGCGCTCGACATCCTCTGTCATCTGATACATGATACATCCATGTTGCCCCGATCCCCTCAAAGATTTGGGGGTGATGCCTTTAGCATCCTCGGCTGTAGGAACTCCCAAGCTGCCGAAAAGCAAATCCCAGCGCTTGCGAAAAACAGCCGGTGAGCAGGCGAACAGCGGGACAATGCCAGGCAAATGACCAAAGAGGGCATCAAGAAACTTGACGGAACAAAAGTCTGAAACTTTGGCATGCTGTCGTTGAAGAAATCTACGGGTTTTTGCTCCCAAGATCGACACGTAGGCGACCTGGGTACATGTGAGCAGATCTCGCGGCAAAAGCAGATCTCGTCGACGGAGCTTAAGGATTTCTCCTGGTCTCAGAAGCCCGTGGAAGCCCACAAGTAGAGCAGCAGCAAAGTGAGGCCACTGCCAAAGCAAAGCCACTGTGATGGCGGCTCGAAAGACAGCCTCTGGCATAACCATGGACCTTTCCACAGGTTCTTCTTCCTCCCAGCGAGTGAGGATGCTCCAAGCTGCGCCAAGCGACGCGCGGAAGTGCTTAAACCGGTCTACAACAGCATTCAAAGTCTCAGAGAAAACGTACTTTGGACCTCCACTGTAAAACAAAGCGTTGCCGTACCCGACTAAAGCGGTGCCGAGCAGCAGTCCTGAGCTTGCCACCTGCTGAAAAGAACACTTCAGTTCGCCCTCAACCCAGCGAGAGAACTCCAGGAAAAGTACCTCCCTCCTGGCGGCGACTACTTTGGTGAGGCCGCCGCTGAAGTCGAGGTTGACTTTGGAGCGGTCGTCAGCAGCAGCACTTCGCCGTCTAGGCATGCTGCGCTTGCAGCAAACTCAGTAGCAGAACAAGCCGCGTCCAGCGGCCCAAGGCTCCACTGAAGTCGTCTGCAGAACGAACGACAGTCAGAAACCGATGATCACCATCAAGAAAGCTCTGCAGCCAGACTGGAAGCTCAGCAGCGGCAGCACGCAGGGGCCGAAGTCGAGACGGGTCGTCAGCACAGATATCGTCCGTCCCTATGTGAAAAAGGCAAGGATACAAACCACCTCCCAAGATGTAAGGCAAGCTGGTGCTGATGAAGAAGTTCAGGCTAGCACTGCTGGAACGTCCTTTCGAGTTACACCAAATAGAGACTCGGCTATCAAGAAAAGCTCCAAATCGAATGCTAGGCGCAGCTTTGGACATGTACTTGAGGAGGCTTCGGTATGCAAGTTCCTCGTTTATGTTGATGTGGTTGATGCGCTTGAACCTGTACTGCATGAGGGTTTTCCAGGTCAAGCACCGCCCAAGGTCACCTATCCATCGTGGAGGAACATGAGCAGGGCGTCTCACTGCACGATCATCATTCCCTACAGTTCGCAGTGCTGGCAACTGCAATTCGATCAATCCCTGCATGACTCTCAATGGGCAGGACCCTGAGAATTCGCTCAAAGCTTCGCCAATCTGAGGATTGCATCCGAAAACTGTCATGCAGTCAGGGCGGCAGCAGTCCACAAATTTTCTCAGGCTCTCCCGGTCGAAAGTAGAGTCCAAACGCAAGTGCTGGCCCCGAAAGGGGCAAGTGCACCGCTAGTGCTCGTAGTGCAGGGTTGTTTGCAAGCAGCCGGGTGGGTCGCTGGAAAGGTGTCCCGAAGGCGCAGCAGCTGAAGTCAACAGTAAAGAAACCGCGCTCAAGCAACCGTTGAAAGATGTCCAGCTGAAACAACACGGATCCCAAAGGTTGTTCGGCAGTGGCTAAAATACCATAGGCAGCTGCAAGGTGCAAAATGTACCCGACCCGGCTTGCGAGATGATTCCCTTCACGTGTGCGTGAGTCGTTTGGATCAAAACCCCAAGGCACAGCCCGACTGCGCAACCTGGGTCTGTGCATCGTGCCGAAACTGTGAAATGGAAGAGCAATATGAAAATGTGCCACCACTCGTCGGCAAAGCAACCCGATGATGCAAAGAATTGTGTGAGGCTGCATAATATCACCGCGCGGGCCCTGACTAACATCAAAACCCGGATGAACTCGAAGTCCCAGGAGGCTCGCAGCGTGCGTCAAACTGCCTCGGCCTCGGAACATCTCGCAAACATCAAAGAGGATGCCTTTGCTCAGAGCTCGTGGAATCGGCTCGACTTCAACCTCAGAAGGCCCTAAGGCGAACTGGTCGAGGTTGCTAGCAAGCCGAGGCTCAAGTGCAGTGTAGAAGCCCTTGTGGTCAGCAAACCGAAGCAACTCTGTACTGGCTTGCAGCGGAACTTCACACGAACAAATCCCAGCTCCGAAAGGCGAAGCATCCGTGCAGCACAGTCGGGTGGAGGGCTCGGCTCGCAAATTGCTCATTGCGCAGGGAACAAGGATCACCAGCAGTAGTAACTCCTGGCGGGCATCATGACTCAGTCGAAAGATCTCGTCAGCGTGGCAGCCTAAGCCCTCATGGTAGACTTGCGAAAGAATGCTGAGCATCGGCCGCCTGAAGATCAGCACGAACATCCAACAACCGAGAACCTGCTGAAGCAAAGTCCGAGTAGAATGTCCTAGCACGACCAGCTGCAAAGTGATAGGTGACAAGGCGGTGCTCTTCAGGCGGGGAGCAGCAATGTCACCACGAACACCGTCAAGCTGGCCTCCTAAAATGGTCGCAGAATAGGCATTCCTTACAGCTTTCTTCGCAGAGGTCCGCAAGTGGACTTTGGCATACATAGCACCTGCTTGACGGAAGAGCTGCACATCCCGGCGATTAGGTGATGGCTGCTTACACTTCTCCCAGGCATCAACCAAAAGGAGATACACATGGTCGTCAATACAAAGAAGGTCGAAACCCGGACCGCGGGGAATAGGGTGTCTGTAGCAAACTTGCTCATGAGATGCCAAACACCCCGCGCGTTGCAAGAGTACGGTGTGACAGTGCTGAGCGGTCTCGACAGCAAAATTCGTACCCATAGCTAAAGTCCGGAAACAACCCAATACTGGAAGATCATGTAGTTCAGGTCTGTAAGCATGCCACCCTTGAAAAGCTGAGCCAGGAAATACTCCGTGCAAGTGGTTTCTAGATGCATGTTCGTCAGAGACGGCCAACGCATGATAGAAGTCCCTTAAGATCATCAGATGAAATCACGAGGTTCTTGCCCTGAGGAATAAATACCTGCGTTAACAACGATGCGTGAGCCAGAGAATAAGTGGCATTCAAAACTGAAAAGACCTCCCATTCTCCGGAATAGGGTTCAAAATCTGCCGGTCCACAGCAGCGCTTTTTGTAAACAGGTAATAATCCGCACCGGTACTTGACCTCAGATTGCGATGCTGGAATAAGATGTAGTGATTGTACGGCATCCCAACGCTTATAAAGACGAAGCTGCTGTGCACGGCTGGCCTGAACCCTAACCCTGGTTGAGGAAGGCCATTCAGAACGAGGCCGACGAAAAAATCGCGGATCACACAAGCCAGCTCGCAACAGTGCGTCCACAAGAAACTTATCTGCCTTGAAGGTGAGGGCTTGCTCAAAGACGAGGCGATCAGGGTCCAGTGGCTTGTAGGTAGTGCTGGCTCCCGTCACCCGAGGCAAAGCCGCACTCTTGCTCGCAAGCTGACACTCACTGTCGAAGACGCCAGCCTGGGCGGCAGGTTTCTTGGTACATCTTTTGTAAGGCTGAAGCTGTGATGAAAGCTCAAGGCAGAACTTCTGCATCACAGCAAGCTGTTCACTCAACGTCTCAAACTTCTGAACCGAACGTTCAAGTTCGCATTTGGGCCCGTGCCCAAGCGAATCCAAGTTGAGACCATGCCCTCAAGACGATGAATCATCGACACCTGCGAGGCAGAGGGAGGCTGCAGGTCAGCGGGGGGATCCGAGCGCAAGCCAGTGGTTCGCGGCAACAAGGTGGCGAGTCAGGAGTCTGCACTGTGCCTGTGTTTCCATCGCGCTCTGCGCCGGCCCGCCCACCAACCTGGACTGTGGAGCTTCCAGTGTAGGGGGCAAAGGGCATGGCCACAAATCTCTGGAGCTCTGCGAGGCAGCGCTCGAAAAGGTTTGCGCGAAAGATCTATAAATACAAGTTGATAAAGAACACTTCGCCTTCAGCAAAAACCTCCGAATGAAACTGCACAAGGTAGAGGCACTGAGGCTGTCGTCAAGTCCTGAGGGAAAAATCTGAGGGAGGAAGCAGGTGTCTCCGCTTACGACTTCTGCTCGCCGGCGTCCCCTCCTGCGCCCCTTTGCCGCGCTTTCCACGGCCTTTGGGACCTTCCGGATGGTTTGGCGGAGCCGTGGTTGGCTGTCCGTGCACCGCACTTGTCCTCTCCTGTATCAGCTGGGCATCTCGCAGATACCCCAGCTGGGCTGCTATCCACCTCGGGTCCGCTAACATCCCGTGTGGGACTTCGGCACGAGGGGCTTTCCGAGATTCGACCAAAGCAAACGGAGGATCGTCGAGGCAAGTCAGCAGCCAAGCCAGGCGGGTGTGCCCCGACTCGTTTGCCAGCCGGTCGCAGAACACAAGGCCTCTCGCGATGATGGAGGCGACCTCGTCGCCTCGTCCATTTTCCATGGCCTCCCAAGCCGTGCAGAGAAGGAACGACACATAAGTCAGCGTCTTGAAGCTGCCCAAGAGAACCGTCTCTTGGAAGTGGAGGTACATGTCTCGAGGCTCTAGGTCGCCCACTCCGGGCTTCCGTCGAGCTTGCGCCAACCGCTCCTTGACCTTGTTGTAAACCAGAGTGGGGCCCTCTGAAAGTGTTCCCGCACCAGTTGTCGAGCAGCCATCCCCTTCACGCCGGGCAGCTTCAGATCCTCGTCGGCCCCCCCGGTCGAAGACAGGAGCTGATGAAGTGGATCGGAGCTCTTTCTCGATGAAGCCGCGAGCTGCGCAAGGATGGCCGTCTGCTGGACAAGGAGCTTTTGCACAATGCCCTCTCCCTCGGCACCCTCGGCGGCGTCGGCCTCCTCGTCGCCCACGGTGTCCTTCGTATCCGGGATGGAGGGGTGGAGCAGCCAAAGCTTTTGCAGTTCCACCAGTCCGTCCCCAAGGCGCGCTGGGACCAGGAAGATCCCCCGAAGTCCGAGGAGCTCGCCCGGCCAGAACAAGAAGTTGCTGCACCTGATCCGGTGTTAACTGTGCGCTCTCGCCCTCGGCGAAAAGCTGAGGAGCCCAAGCGGGGCCCGCCGGAGTAGTAGGAGCAGCCGCCGAACCTGAAGGGCGGGACTCGAGCTGAGCCAGGCGTCTCTCGACCTGATCTAAGCTCTGCAGACGGTCTTGCAAACCGCTCAACAGCGTAGCCTTCGAAGAGGTCGTCTGAAGGAGCTGCTGCAGCAGGTCGCTTGAGTCTGCTCCTCCAGAGCCACTTCCAGGCAACTCGAGGCCTGGAGGAC